TATATTGAATAAACTAATTTTTCTTGTCCTTTTTTACTTTGTTTTTTAATTTAAAGAAAAATATTAATTGATAAGACATTAGAAATAGTGCACATTTAGGAGATCAATATGAGAGATATTAAACCATAGATTTTTGTATTGCCCTTTGTGGTCTTCGATGTAGTTGCTCAGAAGATAGATAAAAACATAGAGTTAATCAACATGAAATCTTTAAACATTAACTGCTACATTCAAAAACCTGATGGAGGGGCTGGAGAGATGGCTCAGTGGTCTAAAGCACCTACTTGGAACAAGCTTGGCAAAGCACAGGGACCGCGGTTCAATCCTCCAGTACCACATGCCAGCCAGCCCCGCCCACTGGTGGGCTGAGCTGGCCACACACACACACACATACACACACACAATAAATGTAAAATAAATAAAATAAATTAAAAAAAACCTGATGGAAATGAGTACTGCAATCATCTTAGCTGTCTAATATATACATGCATGATTTCCCCCCTTTTTCCCCTTTCCTCATCTTGTTTATTCCTTATGTTCAATTTCTTTCCATTTTACTATATTATTCCTTTCAGATTTTATTCTTTTAGGTTCTTACACCAGGGAGACAATATATGTTCACATGTGAGTCTGATTTATTTCACTTATGAGTATAGACTATTTGTATCCATATACTTACAAAGGCCTCAAGTCTGTTTTTCTTTATAGCTGAGTAATACTATATTGTGTAAAAATGCAACACCTTTTTTTAATCCATTCCTCACTTGATGGGTATTTAGGTTGTTTCCAAGATTTGGCTATGACAAATTGTGCTGCTATAAATATGGGTGCGTATATATCACTGTGGTATGATATTTTCAGTTATTTTTGAAAAATACCCAGAAGGGGAAAAGCTGGGTTGAGTGGGACTTTCGATCCTAGTTTTGAGGAGTCTCCACACCGATTTCCATAGTGGTTGTACCAGTCTACAATCCCACCAACAGAGAAGGGTTTCCCTTTCCCCACAGCCTCTCCAGCCTGTGGACTTTGCTTTCATTCTTTGGTGTTTTCTTTTGATGTGAAAAAAAAGTTTTTCATAAGATGAGATCCCAGTTGTTGATACTCTAAAGTATTTCCCATGTAGTTTGGAATTGGTTTATAAACTCTGCTTACACCTATGTTTTTAAGATTTCTACCTATTTTCTCTTCCAGTAAATTTAGCATTTCTATTTTAATATTTAGATCTTTGACCTATTTTGACTTTCATTTAGTCCATGTTGATAGACATGAGTCTACTTTTAGTCTTCACCATGTGCATAGCCAGTTTTTCATCACCATTTATTAAAGAAGCTGTCCTTCTTCCAGTAGCTATGTTTGGCTCCTTTGTCAAAGATAAGGTGGCTGAGTATGTCTGAATTTGTGTCTGCATCTTGTGTTCTCTTCCACTGGTCTTCACATCTATTTTCTTTGCCAGTACCATGCTGATTGTATCACAGTAGCTTTTCTGTATACTTTCAAGTCAGGGATTGCAATACCTCCTGTCTTGCAACTGTTGGCCAGAATTGCCTTTGCTATTATAGGTCTCTTCTGTTTCCAAATGGATTTTAGCAGTATTTTCTCTAGCTGCTTGAGGTATGCTAATGGTATTTTGATCAGGGTTGCATTAAATCTGTATAACATGTTTTAGAAAATGACCATTTTCACAATGTTGTCTTCCTATCCATGAGCAAGGGATATCTATTCATTTTCTGAAATCTTCATTTATCTCTTTTTTCAGAGTACTGCAATTTTCAATGTAAGATCTGTTACTTCCTTTGTGAGACTGATTCCTATTTCATTTTTAGAATTTTATTGTGAATGGTGTGGTTTCCCTAATTTCTCTCAGTGAGTTTGCTGTTTGTACACAGAAATGCTATTGATTTTTGAGTGTTGACATTTTATGCTGTGTTTTTGGGGTCTTCTATGTACAGTTCTATGTCATCTATAAATAATGGTCATGTCACTTCTATTTTTCATTTATTCCTTTTATTTCTCTCTCCCTCTCTCTTGTCTAATTGCTCTGGCTAATGTTTCCAGAACTATATTGAATAGGATTTGCGATAGTGGGGTTTTTTGTTTTGTTTTGTTTTTTTGGTGGTACTGGGGATTGAACTCAGGCCCTTGTGCTTGCCAGGCAAGCACTTATTCTACTGAGCCATCTCCCCGGCCCCTGGATTTGCAATAGTGGACATCTTTATCTTGTTTCTGATTTTAGACTGAAAGCTTTCATTTTTTTATACATTTAGTATGGTGTTGGCTGTTGGTTTGTCATAGATGGCTTTCATCAGATTCACATGAAGACCATCTATTCTTTGTACAGTTTTTATTATGAATAAGTGTCATACTTTATCAAAAGCTTCTTCTGTATCTATGTAGATGATCATGTGATTTTTTTCTCTGGCCCTGTTCACATGGTATATACATTTGTTGATTTATGTATGTTAAAGCAACCCTGCATTCCTGAGATGAATCCTACTTGGTCATGCTTTATAATCTTACTAAAGACTTTCAAAATTCTGTTTGCTACCATTTTGAGGATTTTTGCTACTATCTTCATTATGGAGATTGGTCTACAGTTCTCTTTCTTGGCTGGGTCTTTCTTTAATTTTCATATCAGGATAATACTTAACTCTAGGAATCAGAGACAACTGCTTCCCTTCAACTTCAGTAGAGTTTAAGGCATTAAATCTTCTCTAACTTTCTTGTTGAATTCAGTCATGAATCCATTAGGCTATGGGCTCTTCTTTGTTGCAGTTTTTTTGTTTTTTGTTTTATGCAACTTTATTGAAGAAAAATAAATGAATTACTAGCAGAGCTATTAGTTGATCCCTCATCCATTCACAACTTGCATCGTTTGCTCAGTGCTATATTAAACAGTGTATTTATTGGAAGATAGCTCCAAACCTCCTAACAATTTTGTAAAAATACTTATTTATTTATTTATTTACTTCTTATGTGTGTGTGTGGCCAGCTCAGCCCACCAGGGCGCGGGGCTGGCTGGCATGTAGTGCTGGGGGATCGAACCGCGGTCCTGTGCCTTGCTAAACTTGTTCTAAGTAGGTGCTCTAGACCACTGAGCCATCTCACCAGCCCCTTACAAAATGTTTTGAGACCCTACTTTGGAATACAAAGGGTGTTTGAGTTCCATTTCCATTCTCTGTAGAACAAGAACAGGTCATTCCTTTATTTTATTTTTTTTTAATTTTTTTAATGACAAACAAAAAACACCTAAAACCGGAGCTTCTGGAAGAACCACTTGTTCTTGCCCGTCTTGTATCTCTCCTCGAACTTGACCTTCGCCTCCCGCCGGGCCTTGCGCTTGAGGGCGGGGTCCCTGAAGACGTCCTTGTTGACCACGGTCTTGTCCAGCGGGATGTCCACCGAGTACCT